ACTAGTGAACTAAGAGCTTTACATGCCTAATGACTAGAACTTTTAACTTTCTGCTTACAAGAAATCATCAAAAAAGAAAAAAGCCAAATTTCTTGATCGTAGTGCGTTTTGTAGTTCAAATGTGTTGTTTACATCAAACGAAACGAATGTTAGCCTCTTTTGCATTTTTCTTCCTTCGGATTGTATAAATTCCTTCCAGGTTGTGCGTTTTTCACTTAATTTTTCTTGGGTCGGAAATCGATTTCGAGGTGCACTTAGTATAAGCCACACTGGCATAGCTACAAAACAAAATTTTTTTAAATTTCGTTTTGTGATATGCGCTCCTCCTTGATCACCTGATTTAATTTTCTTTTCACGCTTCATTAAATTTATCTCTTTGTACGTTCTATTAATCACTTTCAAAGTTTTTGGGTTTGCTCTTCTTATTTCCTTTAAACACTTGACTCAACAAAATTGGCCATTAACATTTATGTGATTATCGCGTTACAACCCACTTCACGCCCTCGATGCGTAAACGAGTAAACAAAGCGCATCAGAAATATCTTAAAACAGATAAAAGCGACAAGCCGTAATGCACAAGAACAAAAGCAAATTTTAAGAGGATTCTTTTTGTGTCGTCAAAATGCTTAGATGAGAAAAGCAGCATAAAAACAAACTGCGGGAAAACAATGAAACTATGCCAAGTCCAAAGACCGGCCACAGACAACGAGGCGTATGAGTAACTATGAAGCATGAACAAAGGCAAGCTGCCAGGAAAATGGAATGCATGTAGAATATGAACGGAATGCAGAGAAGCGTTAGCAGAAAAGAAGGTAACACGTCGACAGAATGTGTGAATGAGTATGTACTTTGCTTACGAATGAGTGTAAATTGAAAGGAAACATAAGCAGTACCCTTTCAGGCGTTGAGAAGGGAAAAGTGAATTGGGAGGGAAATAGCAAAGTAAAGCTTAACATAAAGCGTAAAGACAAATCCTCGTTGTGAATAGAAATCACTCGCTACAACAACAAAGACGCTGCGGAAAGAAGTACTTAAGCGCAGATGCGTGCAATATTATGGGGGAAAAAAGCAACAATTGTACAAAATCAAAGGAAAAAAAGTCACGCAAAAAACAGCAGACACTACATAAAACAATAGAACACACATAGATACATGCACGCATTTTTTTTGTGTGTAGCTAAGAACGTGCAAGGAATTCAATGAGTAGGGTGCGCAAGGAATAGTGGTGGTCATGAAGACATCTTCTCATCTACAGCTGAGTAGAGATAATTTACAAATGGTTTAGAAAAAAGGGGAAAAAGTTATGCTGAAAATGTTTGCTGTGAATTGGCATCCGGTGAAATTGTCGGCAGCTGTTAACAGTTGTAAATTAAGTACATATGCACTATTTTAGCGCAAAAGCAGTAGTTTGGTTAAAAAGCTGATAGCTGGTGGCAGCGAGTTTCAGACGCCTATTTCGGCACAGAAAGGAATTTCTTCCAGGTCAGTCAATTAGCGATTGGACAGAAAAAGGGAAAAAGTATCAAATTTCAAATGGTCCATCTCTAATGAGGAGCAGAAATATCATGCTGGGAGCATATGAGTGCCATTATTACGAGGGCTATCTGATATATCGCACACCGTTTTCAAAAGAGTCATAACTCAAAATGTACGCAGAGCTTTTATTTATCTTTCAGCAAAAGCTGGAGCAAATTTTTGTTATAATTTGTTTAAAAAAACCTAAGTTAAAGACGCCCTTGCCCGTTATCATGTGCTAAGAAATAGTTTTTCGCATTTTCTGACAAACGTATTATTTTGAGTTGTGACTCTTTTGAAGACGGTGTGCGATATATTTATAAGTCTCCGCAACGTACTCACCATTATCTACCACGCCAGTTGGTTCTTACATATTCATTCGAGGTATATGGTATCAAGCTGCTACTTGGGCGTAATAGTTTCTCGGCCACCATTCTAACCTAACCTATGGTTCGAGTAATGATCTGAAAGTACTTGTAAACTAGCCTCATGAGAATAGTTAGGCGTATGAATACGGTGACCATAAATATGGATTCAAAATGAAGGACAATTTTTCAAAAATATGTTACGTTGTATAAAACTATCAAAAGAGTATATATGATTCTAAATTCTTAATACATTTTAAACATTTTTTTACATGAATTTTATAAAAGTATAGTAAAACATATTATAATTACAATAGCTTACACGAAAAGTGAAAATCTTTATAAGATTATTTTATAGTCAAATTTCGAGTCGTTCAAAACGAAAACAATACCCTTTTTGTTTTGTTTTTTGGTACTTTTCGCAGTTATTTGTCAAATATCGACGTCATGAATCGACGTAAACGACGAGTTACAAAGTGCCCTTACATATCTAATCCGATTTTCATTATCTTTGGCTCAAAATTTACTGTAATGATATATATATTCTTTATCGAATTTTTCAAATAATGAAAAAAATAATCAAATGAAACTGCGTATTTGATTGAAAATCTCACTTTTTTCGACTTTGACGACAAAATGCAAATGGTCGCCTGTAGCACTAATAATTTTCATTGAAGTCGCCACAAGTTATATATTTTGGTAAGAGGCACATCAATACCCTCATGAGATATTAAAGAAAAGCTACGAAAAGTACCAAAAAACACTTTTTTGGAAAAATTCATCCATTGTCCGATAATTTTAAAATAACGAATATAATGCAGGACAAATGCAGGACACTTGGAAAAAATCAGTACATTTTCAGGTTTTTTAGGATTGAAAAACTACGCAGGACCGACCTTTGAAAAACAGTACGGTCCTGCAAAAAATAGAACGGATGGTCACCGTACGTATGAAGGATATGGCCAATGTTATGCCTCTTGCTGTAGATTTGACAAATAGTTGTAGCATGGAAATATGTGATCACTTCAATCTTTGTTTCTGTATGACATCAAATACTTTTGAGGGCGCCATGTTTCAGATTCTGAAAGGCACCGTGCACACACGACAGGCACACGAAACTAGGGGCCCATAATATGTTTGTTTTTTTTTTGGTTTTTTGTTTGACGTCAGGATTTTTTTTTAAGACTTGAAAATTTCAAGGACATTTTTAACAAAAGATTGATAAAAGCGTACATCATTAGCATCAAGATGTCCCGACACCGCAACATATAATTAGAGCTCCCAACGCTCTGAGTGAAAAAAATCGGCTTCAGCTTCTGAACTGTTCAGTACACTACAAAATACTCAACCGAACCGTCTCTGCAGGATGAGGCAGACTTAATCTTTCTATTAAAATTATGTGCGCGTCAAATGTTATTATACGAGTAAGTCAGTACCCAAAACCAAATCGCTTAGCAAACTTCGTCGGAGGAAAGTTCGCTATCAAAATTAAAACACACTGCAGTATAAATACGAGATAATTTTGCCGCTGCCACCGGTCACAAAATCAGCAGTCAGTGAAAAGGCAGCTTTGTTTCTTCACTTTTCTAGTAGATAATTAGCGGGGATTTGTGGGCTCATCTTTTCACTTTTGTAATTTTATATTTAAAATTTTTATGCAGCTGATGTGAATTCCATTTCGGTTCTGTTTTACTGGACGAATCGTTGCGGCGAATATCAACCGAGCGCAGTCTCAGGGCACACAATTAGGACTCCCTGTGCGCTGCGCTGATGCCCGTAGGAAGGCTCCAAAAAGAGCACCAAACGAGAATATCCGCCGAATAAAAGTGTCTTCTCAATATAAGTATATGAAAAACGTGTGACTTTACGACTGCTTAAATGTGTAATTTCGGCGTCGCAAAAAGCTCCCTCAGTTAATCCGCAAAGACTCCGTGCGCACTCCCGTATTCGCCTAAGATTTTGTGGAAAGGACTCCTTAAATCATCCGAAGATAACATAGACGCAGTGTTTTGGTAGTGCTCCGATAACAGATTGATTGAATTGCCATCTTACAGACTAGATACAGAGAAAACACAAACAAGATAACAAAAACAAAACACTTGACTCCATAAAGTTACCGAATAGCACTACCGGTGTCTTTGTGATAATTTATTTAAGTTTCGTTATATATGAAGAATATTCAACATTATTTAAAAATGCATTAATTAATAAAAACTCAATACTTTTCTCGTTTATTTACAGGTATGTGTGCATTCTCTGCTAAGCTTTTGCTATTGGATTTATATACATACATATGTATGTACATGGGTGTGTATATAACATTTAATGATATTATCCCAGTGGAAAAAGTAGTAATGCATTACATGCGTGATTAATAATGTAATGTATTTCTTATGAGTTCTAGATTCTACTAATATTTAATATGTAATCAGCATTCTAATGTATCCAAAAAGTCGCAAAAAAAAATCATGTTAAATCACATTTATTCCTACATTACTGGTAATGCAAAATTGAATGCCCCACTTTTCTTAGGACATCGCCGTGGGAAAAATAATGCATTTTCGAATGTGAAGAGGGTTGTTTTACTGATTATTTACCGATTATCATACATTACATTTTCCCACTGGGATACTTACTTTAAACAAATACGGTAATATCAATACGGCTGCACAGTGGTCTGAATCCCTTTATATAGGAGCAGTATTACAAGATCTATTAATAGACTCGCCAAGCGAAAGTAGACGATATGATGTCTTTCCAAGGCAGCGGAAGTCAACTAACAGAAAAATATTGTAGCAGACGTCTCTAGCTCATGGGGAAAGTGGTTAAAAATTGATTGCAAGCTTTGATTAAACACAGGTGAAACCTAATAAAGCTTGTAAAAATAGTATCTGTTTAATATTTCTGTAAACTACTTTCCACATTCTTTTGAAGTTTTGCAAAAAAATTATGCTTTCAGTTAAATAAAATATACTTCATAGATCATTGGTGAAAACATTTATAATGGATTTAAAGAAATCATTTCTATAGTAAATTCATATCAACTCACATTCTTTAAACCTATATATGTTTGTAAATTTTTTCACAATACCAACTGCCACGTTCCTTAAGCAATCAAATTCATTGTGTATTTGCGCTCTCCATAAACTCCAAAGGCCCTTCATTGTTCTCCACTTCGCTGGCATCTCCTTTAAGTTTCCATCTCCCGCTTCGCGCATGTGGCATTGCGTAGCGCAGTTTCCTCCAAAACCATGGATCACCCCACTTCAAGTAGGTGTTCATCTTCAAATAGGCTCTCAGCTCTTGATCCAGCGGCTCTGTATCTTTAATTTCACCATAAACCACAAGAATGATACGCGAACGTCCCTCATTCACGGCGCACTGATGAGCTGTGCGAAATTCCATCTGCGCCCAGTCTGACTCAATAAAATGCTGTGATAGCACAATGATCGTACGACGCGATTGCTCTACAGAGTCAATGATCTGCTCGGGTATGTAAGCGCCGGCAAGCCAATCGCGCACGTGTATGCAAATCTTGAAAGTTGGCGGACCCTGCTCCAAGCCCGGCACCAGCTCCTTCTCCACGAATTGCTCATCATGATGTGAATACGAAATGAAAGCATCCCATTTGCGATCACGATCGACATCTTTTTCGCTCACACAGCAAAGGCATAGACGATGCGCATATAGCCAAATTTTCAATTCCATATGATATTTGTAATAACAGAGCGCAGTTGTGGTGAGCACTAGTCCCAATGCGGTCATGCATACAATTATGACAACCAACACTGTACGCACGCCGATCTCTGGCAGACAAAAGTCACGAAAGGATAATTCAATTAAGCGTGCCAGCTGCGAATTCTCGCAACGCATCACGCGCGCATCGCTCAAACGTTTGCGATTATTCTTGACGAAGTTGAGCAGTGGTTGGGCGCTGCAGTTGCAAGCCCATGGGTTCTCCGAAAGATAAGCGGTCGTTATCGTTGCACTTGTATTTAGTGTACTTATCAGCTGTGGGCTGATCAGCTTTAGTTTATTTTGACGCACGTCGAGCACCGATAGCGCGCTGGTTGAATGATTGCTGGAGGCCAGCTGATCGCATAGGTAACGCAGTGAATTGTTGCTCAGCAGCAGGCGTTCCAGGCGATGCAGCCCATCAAAGATGGCGCAGTCCTCACCAGCCATCCAGTCGAGTTGGTTATTTCGCAAGTCGAGCCCTTGCAAGCGATTCGGTTGCGCAAAAGTGCCCGTCTCGATTGTGCGCAGGTGATTGCTGTCTACCGACAGGTCGATGATTGCGGTCAGAGGTGGCAGTATTTTGGC